ATATTAAACCACATTTGCCATTTTTATTTTCTTTTTTAAAATGATCTTCCTAAAGCTTTCCACAGTGGGGATTTTGGGAATGTCAGCATATTGAGTCATTTGGTTACCATCTGCAGTTATTCATCCTAGGTTTCATTTAATTAATAGTAAATTAAATTGCATTGATCCCAATACACAGATTAATCCTGGTGAAATGCACTTTCCTTCAGATAGTTGTTCATCCTCCTCTTCTTGACTGGACATCACAAACCCTTTAGGTGTTTCCTTGAACTGTTGACTTTTTAGAAGTTTCTTAGTCAGTGGAGAAATTTTGAAACAGAAGCCAACTCTCCAAGACTGGAGATAATTGTATCAAAAGGTGTCCAAGGAGCGGTCAATGATGGCAGATGCATAAAATGGTATTCATGTAAAAAAAAAAATGCAAGAATTTAACTTTGTGGTTTTTACACTGTCTGATGACCCAGAGCTGTATAATTGGTTACGAGCTCTTCAACTGCTATGGTCTGATTAAAGGTGCTATTGAAACTTATACATGTGATGAAATAGATCAGGTACTACACAAATTCTGGGCTGAAATTGATTCATGTGTTGTTCTACTCAGGTTGCTGCTGGAAGTGACAACAATGTAATTAAGTTATGCTATCAGGATCTCATACAGGATGAAGATTTGTTATTAATACAGCATGATATGCTGGGACAGCCTGCTCTGAAGCCCAAGTTGTGACTCAATCCCTTATGAAGGCTTGGGAGGGAACATCGAGTAATAAAATACCCACCATCAATCATTTCTTATAAGGGTTAATATAGGAGACTGATCAGTTTTTTATCCTCCTTTTTTGATAAGAAAGCATCTGATCAGAAGTCATTCTGTTGAAGCAGCTAACCCAGCTGAAACACTTGTCTCTCTGAACTTTTCATATTTGTGACTCTTGAAATTACAATTCCCTAAAGCATATTTTATAGGTTAAGTCTAAGTTTGTAAATCTGCATTCTTCCCATGACTCAGAATGAAGGAAAAGAGGAGACAGTCACGCCTTATTGTAAAAACTGCTTAGCCATTCAGTTTGATCTGAGAAATCTCTTGTTAATTGGAGGAAATGTTTATTTTGAATCCGTTTAGTAAAGAGTAATAATAAAAGGATATAGTGATGATCTGCCACTTTGGTATCAGAAAGAGGAAGAACTATTAAAGCTTTGCAGCAATAGGAACTATCAAATTAGAGGCCATTCAGAACTGCCATAGCTATGAAATAATTATAGGCAGGAACCTCTTGCAACAGAGGAACAAGAAACTATTAATTCAATGGCTGCTCTGGAAAAAGCTATGCTTTTTTGGGTTACTTGAAAAAGTGGACTGGTGACCACCAGGAAAACTCAATTAGAAAACTGAGAGCTAGACTGGAAAATTGGAAAAATATATAGGAAGAATGCAGCAGTCTACTGGTTCTCTATTATTATGAGGAAAACTACAACGCACGAAAACATTCACATAATTGCCAGGAGTTGAGTTCAATTCAAATGCAACTTTATCCTTTAACCACAAAAAGCCTCAATTATTGTTTGCTAAAGATTAAGCCTGTATAACAGTTGCCACAAATACAAAATATGGAAAACTGCAGTGGTTTGGCTAATTCTTGAGAAGGCCATGAGTGCTGAAGCAAACTTTTTTTTTAATGTTTCTAATATATGCTTTTTGCTACAAAATGTAATCTCATAGGCTAGCTTGATGAACATTTCAAGGAAAGAAGAATGACCATCAGCAAGACTATGTTCATTCCTGTCAATTCTGCTGTAGTGGGTTCTGCTTTAGCTGACAGGACTACTGTGTTTTCAGCATTAAAGACATCCATAATGGGTTTCTTTTTCATCTCTACCAGATACCCTGATGTTTATTCATGCACACAGTTCTTGGGGATCTAAAAGGAGGAAAATGAAGAAATTTGACCACACCAGCCTGTCAGATCTTTCCTTTTCTGACAGGTAAACTCTGTGAGGCTTCAGGAAGCCCAGTCTATCAAGGCTTGATCACTAACTTCTAAAAACCATGATTCAGTTTCACCAGAAAGTCTGAGCCATCTCAGTCTTGTCTCAATCAATCTAAGCAGGCTGGTTGATTTACCAGGCCCAAACTGTGAGGTAGTCAGAGCCATTAATAACTGAACAGAAACTCCAGCAAATCCGTTTGTCCAATTACTATTCTTTGCTGCTGAAAGAACAGCATGTGGTGAGTTGCCACACTTACCAAAGACAACAAAACCAGTGTATGGGGCTTCAACTACGATAGCAGAATGTTTTTCTGATCTTATTAAGGAACCCCAGAATTCATTGAGTTATAACTTGAAAAATATTGTCATGTTCACATTCTGTTGCTTTTTTTCCTCTTTAGCTGATTCAGGTTAACTAACATCCCACCCACAGTTGACACTCTATGAGAAATACTCTACTATATATACAAAACCCCTACTGTTCTGTCATAAACACATTTTATTGAAAGGCCCCGCTTATTTCTTGAAAACCGTCATCATCCTAATTATGAATAGAAGTGACTTATGATTAGCAATTAAGAGACTGATTTTTATTATTTTTATTTTTTGTGGGGGTTTTTTGTGGGAGGGATTTTTTTGTGATTACTTTTTGTCCTCCCATGTTTTATTGAGCAGAAGAAGAATATAGCAATGAAATAAATAGTTCTCTCTCTCTCTCTCTCTGTGTGTGTGTGTGTGTGTGTATGTATGTATGTGTATGATTATAACACATACGTTGTTTTGGGTAATTATCCCTTTTATCAAATCCCCTTTTCTAATGTTTGTGGTTTAATATTAACATCAAATGTGACCTCAGATTTCCTGAGAGTTTCATCCTGCAAAAGGGATTCTAATTTTTCTATCTCATTCTCAGAAAAAAATGATACAATGGTGGTTTTGACCTTGCTTTTTTGATGTGCTTCACTTGTCATTCTTAAGTATACTTTTCTCAATCACTCTGTGGCCTTCCTGGTTGCCCATGCTCCTGATCTAAAAAAGGCTTATTGGAAGTATGTGTGTGTGTGTCTCTCTCTCTCTCTGTGTGTGTGTGTGTGTGTGTGTGTGTGTGTGTGTGTGTGTGTGAGAGAGAGAGAGAGAGAGAGAGAGAGAGAGAGAGAGAGAGAGAGCTTGTTTGTTTGTGTATTACAGCAGCAACAGCAGTTCTTTTTAAACTATGTGAAAAGATCCCTGGGGTATCTGAAATCCCTCATCCTACTATAGTTGGTGAAAAGTTCTTTTTTTTTTTAACTTAAGATGAGGTTACTAGTATCAATGACTAAATAACCTCTCCAACACTGAAAATAAAACACTTCTTAATGCAGGTTGTCCTCAACTTACAACCACAATGGAGCCCAAAATTTCTGTTGCTAAGCAAAATATTGTTAAGTGAGTTTTGCCCCATTTTACGACCTTTCTTTCCACAGTTGTTAAGTGAATCACTGCAGTTGTTAAGTTAGTAACTTGGTTGTTTAGTGAACCTGCTTCCCCATTGACTTTGCTTGTCAAAAGTTTGCAAAAGATGATCACATGACCGCAGGACACTGCAACCATCATAAATATGAACCAGTTACCAAGCATCTCAATTTTGATCTAGTTGTCATGGGGATGTGGCAACAGTAGTAAGTGTGAAAAAACTGTCATAAGTTGCTTTTTTAAATTTTGAACAGTCACTAAATGAATTGTTGTAAGTTAAGGGCTACCTGTACTACTACTTCCTGAGGGACATAAACAGGATTGGTTTGTGCACAGAGGGTATAGTCAAAAAAGGCAGAAGATGGCAGCCATGATAACCTGGTCAAAACCCCCAGTTTAATGTGTATTGCACACTGATCCTGTTCTATGTTTCTGCCCACCTGTGTTTCCTCCAGGTGTGCTATTTTATTATTCCCAATTCACCATCCAGCCTCTTGTTACAAAACAATTGCACCAGGTATATTTTGCGTCAGAAGAAACTGGGGATACTCTTTAACAGATCTTAGCCTAACACAGCTCACTGTCTACACAAAGAGACAAAAATCACCTAGACCCCCATTTATTCACCCTAAGTCTTCAGGCTTGGCATAGCTGACCATTAATTGCTCCAGAAGCGTTTTTTTGGGGGGAGGAGGGGGGAATCACAAATTGGCAATCCTGGTGAAATCAAACCGAAGTCCCCTTCTCCCCTCCACACCCCCACCCCAATTTGGAACTAGGTCACGGCACAGCGATCGGAGTTTAAATTTCCAATTTGCGACAGTCCCAAGCGTATTTACAGCAAGTCTCCTTAATCCTTCAGTGGAGCTGACTTCCAGGCGAAGACGTAGCACGCAGACACTATCCAGCACGCCCTCTCGGTGTGTGCAGCCCCCCTCCCGTTCCTTCTCGAGGCAATTAAAGTTTGCTCTTCAGAAACTTTACGCCAGCCAGACCCTAGAAACGGGGAAGGGAGGGCTAATGTCACGGAGGCGACTCTCTCGGGGTCAATCTGCTCCGAGCAATCGGCGGGCAACAAATGTTTGCAGAGTCTGGTGGTGGCCCAGGAGAAATAGAGAGCGGCCAATGAGAACATGCCTGCTCGCTCTTTTCTCCAGAGTTTCTATATAGACTAAGGCAGGAATGTAGGTGATTAATTTCGAGGCACTGCCGTTCGATCCAAGCGCCCGCATACATACATACAGAGAGAGAGAGAGAGAGAGAGAGAGAGAGAGAAACACCCCGCACACACACACACACACACACACACACACACACACACACTCGCGTCTTGGAGACGACAGCGCCGTACCCCGTAACCAAACCACCCAGCGCTGCTATTTGGATGACCCCCGCGAACTGAGCTTGGACTTAAGTAAACATCAGCGAGCTGATAATTACAAGGTCTGGAAAAAAAACAGAACCGCACTTCACTTTCGAAGCTGGGCGAGATCAGCCCTTCTCTTCCCTCCTCCGTGTTGCCTTGGCCAAGGCTAAACGGATCCTTCCGATCGAGCAGAAGAAAGCTGTAAAAAAAAAAAAGAAGGGTCCCTTTTTGCCTTTCGCTCTCTCCCCAGGCTTGGGAGGTGGTGGAGAGGAGAGGAGAAAGACTCCTTGAGCTGCAACTGATTAAAGGCTGCGGTGGTTAGTTTTTCTGGCTTGCTTCGCTTTCTCCAGAGCCGAGAAAGGAGAGGCGGGAGGGTGGTGGTGGTGGTGGAGGCTTTCCCCAGCCATCTCTTTCAACCTGCCCATGTTGTGATTTCGGCAGCCGTAGCCCGCTTTCTGCTTTTATTTGTGAAGTTGTTGAGGCACCCGCAAGGATGGGACGCTGCCGCTATTATTCGGGCGCTTTGCGAGCCTTGCAGTTGCTCGCCTGGACTTTCCCGCTGCTGACATTGGCTTCCTTGGTGGACGAAACCTTAGAGAGAGCCTCGAAATCCGAAGGCTACTGCAGCCGGATCCTGCGAGCCCAAGGCACGAGGAGGGAAGGATATAATGAATTTAGCCTCCGCGTGGAAGGCGATCCGGAATTCTACAAGCCCGGAAACAGTTACCGGGGTAAGTCCACCTTGGGCGCTTTGGGAAGATCCCAGAGCCGGATCGTGGGGAGAGTAAACGCCGGGGTAACTGGCGAGGTTTCTCGGGACTGCTCGCCCCCCCCCCCTCTTCGGTTGCAGAATCCAGAACACTTGTGCTTTCTTTCTGATTCTTCCCGTGGTCGTGGCTACTACTCATTTCCCTCCGTGCCCCCTCGCCTTTCGTGGTTTAAGGGAAGCCAGGTCCTCTACTACTACCTGCGCCAGTATTATTATTATTATTACCTTAATCGCCCTTTGCACGCTTCCATGTCAGCCGTCTCTTATTTCACATTTGGCCAGGGAGATTCCCTCCTCGGTTTGCCATGATCTCGCTGGGAAATAAGGGGAATAGTAAAAGTTTGCATACCGGCCAAGAAGGCTGCTGGAAGCCACCGCCAGTTTTCTTGCGTTTTCTGCTTTAAAATCTGGTTCCTTTCCCCCCCCCCTTCCCTTCGTAAAAGGGGTCAAGGCTGTTTATTGCTTAGATATCCCTGGGGGTGGCTGTTTAGCATGAAGACAGGGCACTCTGTTTGTACTCAGGAGCATGCAGTGCAAATATAGAAATTAAATCTTCTCCTGCCCTCTCCTCTCTCAAGATCAACTTGCCTGGGGTTCAGGAAATGGAATAAAGCCTGGGTTTTCCCCTCCTGAGGGTGGGAGTCATAAGAACAATCTAAATAACTACAATAAGGGAATAAGGGATTTTCCATTAAACATGAAACGATGGAGAAATCACTTTTTGTTCAGCCAGCATAGCAGATTCATTCCGAGATAAGCAGATTTAACTTCCCCGATCCAACATTTCATTTGTTTAGATCTTTTAAAACATTCTTTGGAAGAATTAGCACATCCTAAACCTAAAGTCATCACTTCTTCTTTTAGAAAGTGCTGATGGTTGAAATGATCTTGGGGGCAGTTACATTTCCTACTTTTTTTTTTTTTTAACCTATAGCTTAGATAGATAAAACAGCAACCACAATAACACATCAATCTGCTATGAGACATTACTAAACTGAGAGCTGAATTGCTCTCTCTTAAAACACATTCTTATAAAAGCAGATTCTTATCGGCAATAAACCACTTGTGATGAGAGGACTATGTTATGGTTAGTGGGGAAATGCTGAATCAAAGTAGTTGAAGCAAAACATAGGGAAAAGTTAAATATTCTCTTTTGCAACTTTAAATATGCAACTCTTTTTCTGCTGTATCTCAGCTTGATTCCAGGTTTTTAGAGGGGATATTTTTTTTGTAGCTGTTAGGGTGTAAAATATAAAGATTTGGTTTATCTGAAAAGTTGTGGGATGGGAGGAAAACATCTGTCAAACTCCTAAAGCAAAGTTGAAAAAAAAAATCCCAACAAAATGCAATCAAAGACTTTTTACATGTTTGCTAGCAGTTAGAGGTTGTGGTTGTAACTGCTGGCACTTTAAAGAATGTGGTATCAAAAATTTAGCAAACATAACTTATGACAATCAAAGCTAAAATCCTCCACCCCCCAAAAAAATCTCCTAAAACTTAAGTCAGATGGATCAAGCAAGAGAAAAATACTGTTCAGTGCAACTTTGTTTCTTATATAGCAATTTAGTATTGTCACCTTGTTTTATTTTTATTAACTGTCACAAGAATTTAACAAGTCTCTCTCATGCAGTATGGAATGACATCACACTAAATACTGTATGGAAACAGATTTTTCTCCCTGTACTACTTTTTAAAATATGATTCTCCCAGAAATTGTCTTATCAAAATGCAAAGAACGCAATAAGAAAAGCTGATTAAATTAAGGGCAAACTGAGGTTACACAGCTTATAAATTATCAGGAAGCAAGGGAATGTTCTTTAGAATAAGATGGGAAAGGTGACATATAGGCAACAGGGGCTGAGGAAATGAGTGGAAAATTCTGATGCCAAGAAGTAGTCCAGGTGTTTTTGTCATCCTGTGGGTTTTTAAGAAAAATAAATCATGATTGGGAGCCTGAAGCTATTCTTCAAACAGAAAGAATAAGAATGAAGAAGTTCACTGCTTATGGCAATGCTGTTTTGCTTAGCTGACAGCCACTTGTTTTGGGATAAGAAGGATATAAGCCATTCTCAAGTGAATCCATACCTCTTATGATTTTGAGTCTATCCATGGGTTACTTTCATTTGCCAAACAGATCATTAGCATATCTCCTACAACTTCAACCCTGTGCTGTTTTTCCCCCCAGTTACTAGGAGACAGGTGGTACACAGTTTTGTGAAGAAAGGCCTATAAGAAGACATTGACCTGCATTGAAAATGGAGATCAATTTTTGTTAAAGAGCTGTGTCCACTTAGAACACAATTTTGGGTTGAAAAGAAAGAAGCCCATTCAACAGAAGTATGCCATAAAACTCTTTACATTCACCAATGGTGCCTTATTAATTAAATCCATTTATGGACTCTTTTGAAAAGCTCAGAAGGAACTTTAAGGCTCTCAGCCTTCAAAGACATTGGTGCAGATAAATACATGCTCACACCCAGAGTTTTTGATACTGCTCACAATAACAGGAAGTATTCTGGAACCTTTAATAATGGTGGTCAGTTTAATTCACCAAGAATATTTCATAGCAATGAGAGAAACTACCATACACTCATCATCTAACATTATTCATTAGTCTGTGGTAGAGAATGGAAAAATAATGGTGTGGATGAAGATAGGCTCCTTCCTGTCTAAAATTAGAGTCCTCTCCACCCGAGTCTTAGTTTTATCCAAGTTTAAGAGTAATTTCTTTTTCCGAAAGAATGTCAGTTTAAAAGAGCCAGCCAACAGAAATTGTTAGCAGTTCGCCACATTACATTTCTCAAGATTTGAGAAGGATATACAGACTTAAGTTGTCATAACCGGGTTTTTCTTGGAAATTGTATGTGGTTACTTTCTTTTTACAATAAAAGATCATTTTATAGGAGATCCTTGGAATATTGCCGACCCTCCCCTTCCTCTTCCTTCCTGAATGCTCCAGAAATTACTCTAAATCTTAGGTTTTTGGACAGTGCATACAAAGAACCTTTGAAGAAAGAGTTGAGAGAGGGGGAAGAGAAGCTAACAAGAAACCTAGCTTCCAATTAAGTTGAAGGACTTTCTGGAAACATCGAGTATAATTTTGCCTTTAATTTCTATGCCCACAAATATTTTTGATTTTGGTCCCCAATGGTGGAGAAAGAGTGACAAAACATACTGTTTATCCATCTATGGAGATGCATACATGTACCCAAGCTTTTCTTTCTTGATGCCCCAGAATTGGCCAGGAAGGGTAAACATTACAATCTGTAATTGGCTAGGGAAGTACTGTATTTGACTTTAAGGCTTAGTTCCTAGGTGATTGAAAGAATCTCAGTGTCCTGCCTTTTATTAGGCAATAGACTCTCCATTGCTTCTGGTGTCCTTGGCTTCCATTAAATCCAAATAGAAGCTATCATAAAAATGAGAAAGGTTACAATATGACAGAGAGGTGTCTTTCAGTAAATAATAACAACAGCACATTCTCTCACCTTGCAAATATAATATAAGGTAGGAAACACCACTGGCAATAGATGAAGGAGGAGTCCAATGTAGTTGGGGACATCCCTTCAAATAAAGCTAATTTGAGGCTGCAATCCTATCTATATATGAGCTTCACCAGATACATTTTGCTGGCTTAGACATGTATGTGATTATGTTTTTATAGCTGAGTCTTCATTTTCCTGTTGCCTCTTGAGGCAAAGCACCTATATCATTCCTCAGTCTCTTAAGAACCAAAATAGGTGAATGTTAGTTTTTTTTTACTTACCTTTGTTAGCATCATGCGTGTATATGTTCTAATATTACTGAGGCTAAAATATAACACTCTTCACAATAGCTTATAATTGTGCTGCAAATAAAACTATTAAGATATGGATACAGGTTGAGCAAAAGCACCTTAAAATGCATGGGTTTATATAATAGTGTCTATAGGTCTTTGGTTATTTGAAAACCCGAATAACCAAAGACCTACATACAAACACCCGCGAAAACCTCAGAAAACAAATAGTGTCTATTTATATACAATAATGCAAATTATTTCTATTTCTTAAATGTGGTTCCCATTGTTAAACTTTCTCATAGGCTGACATATCAGTAACAGTATATGGCAGAATATTGTAAGATTTCTGATATTTTGAAATGAGGAGAAGGAATACTACAATGGGAGAAAAAAGAAGAATCAATTATATTTTAGCTTGACTCCTTCTACTATAAAATTTGGGATTTTGTCCAAACTTTCTCTTACTGTACACCAGTATTGAGTGGAACCTTGTATAATCCACTCTGACAGCAAATGTGGATATAGTATTATGGATCCTTCCTAGGCAAATGGTAGGAGGAATATCAACTCCATTGAAAAGCAAGCTTGTGACTAGTTCCCTCCACAGTGGGAATGTCTTTCTTGGTTCACTTAAAGGACCAGTAGTGCATATATATATGGTCATTGCAGGCAGGATGTAGAAGGAGAAGAGTAATAGATTCCCCCCTGCAATCTGTTGGATGTAACTTTAAGCAATTGTCCTTGTGACTGGTTTGATTGGTCAGTGGGATGAGTGGATTCCAAAAGGAATCTGTTGACCCAGCTGGACCCTGGGTAAGATTTATCCATAAGCAGACACAGTTTTCATAGGGTTAAAACAATTCCCTTAGTTAGCTGCATCAAGAGGACTCTTGACCATAGGGTTAATTAATCAGTTTTCTGTACTGATACTGTACAAGATGACATTGACATTGCAGAGGAGCCAAGTGGAAATGAAGCCACTATGGCTGTTTTCCACCTCTACCCCACAACTATTTGAGCGTAGGTAAAAATGAGCAAAACCAAATGGAAAAAGATAGTTGCATTTCCCTGCAGGCTTGATAAATCTACCGTAGACTGGGAAAACAGGAGGGTTATTAAGCACAGCAAACATCAGCGTGGGTAGCTGTGGAGATATATAAGATTTGCTTTATTGCAGCTTACTG